ATCCCACAGCCGCCATAGAAGCGAGGCTTTTAGTGTTTGTGATAAGCTCGGATAATTATGATAAGTGTCTGTTTGACGTGATATTATATTAAAAAAATGTTTTGCTTCAGTGTACAGACTCAACATGAAAGTAGACAAACTTTGGGTTACAGCTTGCCCTTCGTTGTCAAATCTCCCAGTTCTTTTGAACCTCTCATAAATGTTCGCACATTAGGGAGTTGTAATATTTCCCATGTACCCTGAAGGCAACACAGTACTTTCCCTTTATCCAATCGCATTGAGCGCTGAGCCAGATGATTGGTGACGAAGGCAAGCAAGCGTTTATTTTGGCTCTGCTACTCATTTGTCTCGCTGTCGCCGCCATTAAACAACACGGAGGCAATGTAAACCATGGAGTGTCGCATATTTACACCATGATTCAGGGAGTGCAGAGGCTTTGCCAAGGTGTGGTTTATTCCGCAAGAGGTTAATGTGTCCATAAAGGTAAACATGTGAGAGACCAGAGGGGTCGAAATAACTCGGTTTGGGAAAGGTTTGATAGAGCAGGAGGAGGGGGGGCTGGTACAAGAAGGTTTGTTGTGGTGTTCGGCAGGACTTGAGGAACGAGCTCAGCCGCGACGGTAAGAGTTTTGCATATTTCTTCAAATAATCCGGTTAACGACATGTACTGTGTCTATACTTTCTAAGAAATGTTCGCGAGCTGTTACCGTTGACGGTAACTGTGTATGCTAGGTGGTTAGCTTCCCCTGCTAGCATGCTAACAGTAAAGACAAACATTAGTACATGGTAACGCAACAGAGCAAACCGTCATGCTAATCAAACCAAGGCTGTTAACCCACATCCATGGTGTTACTGATAATAAACAGCTGACAGGTAATTTTAATCTTTAAATCACTCTACTATCTCAGGCTGCCAGTGTCATTGAAGATGCCCGACTAGATGTAAGTTAGTTTAAAACACGCTGGAGTGCATATTTGAGGCAACATGCAATCTCTTCATTTGATTATGCATTCATAAATGATACTAGTTTGTTATGTTTGTTGACCTCCAAGATGGTTGACAAAGCTTTTGTTCATGCCACATGTCTAACTGGATTTATTTACCACAGCTTGACCATCCAAAGTGATCCACAATGACAGAACAGAGGATAAAGTGGGCCTGTGACTACTGCACCTATGAAAACTGGCCATCTGCAGTCAAGTGCACCATGTGCCGTGCACAGAGGTCGAGGGGTCCCATCATCACAGAGGAACCTTACAAGAACAGCCCCGATCTGGACCCCAGTCCAGACTGGGACCCCCCCAGAACTCAGAGTGGTGGCAACCTACTCATCTGCCCTGACTCCAGTGCCAGGCCAAGAATCAGGTCCACCAGCATGGCTGAGATTGCCAATAAGTGGTCCTGCCAGATGTGCACCTACCTGAACTGGCCCCGAGCATTACGCTGCACACAGTGCCTGTGTCAGCGCCCAAGGACCAGCAGCCCCACGGAGTCCCCGTCAGGCTCCAATGCAGTCAGTCGTCCTCTCCACTCCCCTGTGGATACCTGTGAGGAGTACAATGACAGAAACAGACTCAACACCCATCAGCAGCACTGGACATGCGCAGCTTGCACTTACCAGAACTGGCCCAAAACTACAAAGTGTGTGGTGTGTGACCACCCCAAGCCCAATAACCAGGAAGCCATAGAGCTGGCCGAGTCCTCGGAGCCAACATCCATGATCAATGAGCAGGACAGGGCTTGGTGGAGGGGCAGTTGCAGTGGAGGCCAGGGCCAGAGGAGGTCCCCTCCTACACCCAAGAGGGAAGACAATGTCCAAATGGACTTCCAGAGGATAGAGCTTGCAGCTGGAGCCATGAGCAGCAAAGAGGAACAAGAGGTCGACTTCAAGAAGCTAAAGCAGATTAGAAATCGAATGAGGAAAACAGACTGGCTGTTCCTCAATGCATGTGCTGGTGAGTGTTTGTACCTCATTAAATGTCATTCCTTCGAGGCCTGAAGCAATTAATTGATCAGTCAGTCCACAGGAAAAATAATAACAGCAATTTTGATAATTGATAATGCCATTTCAAAGGGAAATGCCAAACTGCTTATTCCAGCTTTTCAAACGTGTCTCTAGTTTTATATCACTGTAAATTAAATATTGGGGTTTTGGACTGTTGGTTTGATAAAACAAGCAATTTAAGGGCACCACCTTTGGTGCTGGCAGGGTGTCTGCAGGTCCTTCAGAAATCTTAAATTCAGTTTAATAAATATGAAGCCTTACAAGTCATTAAATAGTCTTACATTTTTGCACTTTTTGGTCCAAATGAGTCAAGCTTTTCTACATGAAAGTCCAGATGATGTTACAAATCTTTAAAACCTTCCACTGACCCAAATACTGTCTTTTTTCTTTATATTTGCACTTACCTGACGGAAAAATGTAGATAAACCTAACTCCTAACCTAAATATTCCTTAAATAAACTGTCTGTTTGAAATTACATATATATATATATATATATATATATATATACACTGCTGACCTTTTAGATTTACCTGCAGTGCTTGAATGAGAAAAGCTGATTTTTCGAATCGGTCTTAAACTTGGTCGTAAATTATCTTAAAAAGGTTTAAAAGGCATTAAATATCATAGATTAATGTGTTAACTAATAATTAAAAAAGAAAATCAATGGAAATAACAAAAATAGCAAATTGATGCAGCTGCAATTCTTAAAATCTCTGCTTGTAGTGTGCTCCATAGTAATGATTACAAACAGTATTTATTGAGCTCAGATTTTTGTGTGAGAATACTTTTGCCCTCCTTTCTCTATGTGGCTCACCAGAATAGTCTTAATGGGACAAAGAATCCATACTCTTGTCCCATTTTTCCTTATAACACTTCTACTGTTACACCAGCTATTTGTTTCCTTCCATGATATCAGGCTCAGTGGTGACAGAGTGAGTTGCGACCATTTCTGTCCCAGTTGCATAACATTTAGTTTCTGCTCAGTTTTATTTTATCACAGTTCCGGTGGTGCCTCACCTTGCAAAGGCCAAGGTTCCACGGTAGTGTGATCCCCCAGGAGTTATATCAATGAATGACAACATGTCATTGTTTAGACTCCAAATATTAGAGTACAACAGGAATTTAGCAAAACACCAGCTTGGCAGGCTCCGCGATAAGGGTTTAATTTCACAAGGTAGTGCTTTCAGGTGGAAAATGTCTGCTGTATGGAGAGGATACTTATCATCATCATCATCATCAAAGCATAGACGATGCTGAATGGCAGCATTAGATATATGTGTAACTAAAAGGCGAGTAGGAATTTGATCCAGCTCATCACCGAGCCCCTAGCTGCCGTTGCTCTGCCACTGAGAGTGTCTTTGAGAAACTGAGAGGGTGTGAGTGCTTCCCAGCTGGTGGGGATGAATGAGCCGTCTGGGCAGCGCAGTGAGAGTGTATCCCGTGGACCAGAGACTCTCCTGGCTCGCGGTCAACCGACCCTGTAAACAGTGGCGCTTATGTGCTGAGCAGGGGCCCTGGAAGGCAAAAATAGCCTTGACAAGACATGGACACCAGTCAACAACAAAAAGGCAAAAAAAAAAAAAAAAAGAAGCACGAAGGAAGCACATGATCAGTGTCCTCCTGACC